CGAACATCTATTCAAGTTTCCTTGAAGTATTCGTGTCATTTCTGCGCTTTCGTCGCTTCCGCTAGGGCGGCTCTGTATACATTACATGCACCCGAACCGGAGATATGGCACACGCTATCTTTGTCTTTTCCATTTGAAGTGCACAGAAAGCATTTTGGTTGTTCCGTGCAGTCTGCTGATTTGTGGTTCTCGCCACCGCACTTATAGCAGCATTTGCTCCGATCCGGTCCTTTACAGTAGCGAGACTGGTGTCCAAATCCGAGACATTTGAAGCACCGAGGTACTCTTGCCACTAATCGAATGCGACAATTCACCCATCCGATCTTGATGCGGGCCTTTTCGAGGGCCTTCATAGCACTAGCCTCATCGATCTCGCAGAAGGCTGCCCGTTGACCTCTAGGGGTAACCTTAGTTAGGTTCACGCGCCTTATCTCAAGGTTTTCTTTGTAATTTCTCGTTAATGCTTCCCGGATTTCGGCTTCGGTAGACACTCCGTCCAGATCAAGTATTTCGATGGTGGTCATCGGCGTCAATCGCTTGACCGTTCCACAGCCGCCTACCGCCGTTTTAATTGCTTCCGTGAAAGCTGTGTCATCATTGGTCTTTTTGCTAATCTCTAGCAATACTCCGCCCTCCTTTGTTTGGCGTATGGACTTAATGTTTGCTCCGCTTTCTTCGGGGTTTACCTTGCCTTTTATGTTCTTTAGCACGTCAGCGTAGGTTTGTCCAGCCGAAGGCTTTATGAGGATTGCCTTGGTCCGAGCTTTTTTACGCCTTGTTTTCTGAAGCACTTTCACGGGGCCATCCTTACGCCCGTTGCCTTCTTGACTCGTTTTAGCCGTACCGTTCTCGCGCGGTTCTGGAGCCTTCTTCTTTTTCCGGTCAACTAATTTCCAATCGCCCTCTTGCGTGGGCTTTTTGGTTTGACGTTCAGTGGATAAGATCGGGCTTGGCGAAGATAATTGCCTTTTTTTGGGATCTTTTACCACTTTGCTTGGTATGGGTGTGCACGGCGGCGCAGTTGTCGCCATCCCTGGTGATGTTTGAGTCGTCGTCGCAACTTGTTCCATTGGTTTTTCGAGCGTGGTAGAGAGATCTCTCAGTGCCAGGTTGTACGCCGTACTGATTGAACCTGCTAGACGTCTTATGTCACCGTGGACATTTGTTTTCTTTTGGATGAAAACCAGCAGTTCATGAATCTTTTCACCCAAGCGTTCAACGTGAGATGGGCGACCGCTACCAATCGGAGCTGAATGAAGTCTATCTCGGTTTGTGCGCACTGGCAGACCCTCGTCAGTTTCGTGTGTATCCACTTCCATAGTGGCAGTTTTGGTGAATTTTTCCTTATTTAATTCCATGCTATTAAAAGTACCAACGCATCGTACGCAGAGGGGCGGGTTGTTTTAACTGGGAGCGGGTGTACCCTCGAAGATGATACTTCTACCCCAGTTCCCTGAGGCCCAGTCAACACTTAGCCATGTCCCGGAAAACACGGACGGACCAGACTCGCCCGGGGCGGTGCAGATTCCGACCTCTGCACTCACTGCGTACTTCCTGATCAAGGCCCGAAGTGGCTGGCTCCTGATTCACTGCTGCTACTTACACCTCGGCAGAGCAAGCTCACATCAGCCGTAACCCAGGTTATATATATATATATATGTATATGTATATATGTATATGTACATGTTTATGTGTATATGTATATGTATACGTGTATAGCTATAGTTACATAGATAGGTATGAGTATATGTATGTGTCATACATGGACATGTACGTCTTTGTGAATATGCATGCACGTTGCATATATGTATATGCGTATATTTATATATGTATATGCGTATATTTATATATGTATAGTACATGTATATGTGTACATATATAGGTATATATTTTTGTATTTGTATATGTATATGTGTATATATATGTTTGCATGTGTGTGTGTATGTATATATATATTGAATGGTAGAATCTTGGATTTGTGTATATTTTGTAGAGTTTCGAACAAGAATCCAAAAATAATAAAAAATGAAAAAACAAGAAAAGTTTTTAATAAACAATTTCTTTATTTAATTATTTGTTTACTGTCGACGTTTCGGAACTAGGTACGTTCCATCTTCAGGACATCTGTCAAGAAACATGATCTTGATGAGATTTTAGCAAACAATATGTTTAGGAAAAGAAAATAGATTTTTCTTAAATAATAAATTAATTGCAAAAAAAATATAATAATGTACAGAAATATGATAATATGATCAAAATGAAAATGATAAAAATGATAAAAATAAATGAGTGGATTATCAGAACAGGATATTAAACATAATAGAAAATTTTTTGAAAGTTATGGAAATTTTTTTAAGAAAAGGTTAATGACAAAGTTGAATTAATTACCTGTATGTTTGAATAAGTTTGTCTTTTTTGAATAACTGAAAGAATAAGATTTTTTGGGTAACCATTTTCATTTCAAAAAAAAAAAAAAAAAAAACTAATTGAAAATGGTTACCCAAAAAATCTTATTCTTTCAGTTATTCAAAAAAGACAAACTTTTTTAAAAACACAAATTAATTCTCCCAATACCACTACCAACATCAAAAACGCCAATTTTATTTACTGCAGCATTCCTTACGTTGAAGATTTATATTATTATTTTGCCAAAATCCTGTTAGAAGAAAACATTTTAGTATCAGGCTCATCCTTACACTCCTTCAACCAATTCTTTACGAACATTAAATCCCCTACCCCATCCAATTTCAATACTAATGTAGTATATTCTGTTTCTTGTAATGACTGTGCTTTTCAATATATTGGACAAACCTCGCAATATGTACACAAAAGAATGAGACAACATGAACTAAGTGTGGTCCACCACAAACAAAAACATTTCAAAAGTACCCTAGTACAACACTCTATTGAAAACGCCCATTCATTTAATTTCACTCCAAAGATTTTATATCATGAAAGTTGCATCTTTAGGAGATTATTCGCGGAGAGTTGTCTTATTCTTATGAATGTTTCTAACAGTGTCAACATTAGATCAGATCACAACCTATTACATGATTCATATTTAAATTTTTTACACTTTTTGACAAACAATTAATATCGACTTCCTTTTAAGATCAACAATTTAAGTATTCACACCCTAACATATAGAAACACACACATACAATCTCACAGCTCTTGTTCAAGTGCTTACACGTGTTACAAATTACACACCAGATTCAATTTAGTTAATTTTCAAAAGCCAATCGCACAACATCGAGGTAACAATATTATTTGTGTTTTCAAATAATAATTTTTTAAAAAAGACAAATCTTTTAGTAATTTTGATTTACAAAATCTAATTATTCGGCGGAAAATTAACTCACAAATTCATTTTTTGTTAAAAAGCTTGTTTAGTGAAAAAGTGCTAACATATATTCAAGCATACAGGTAATTAATTCAACTTTGTCATTAACCTTTTCTTAAAAAAATTTCCATAACTTTCAAAAAATTTTCTATTATGTTTAATATCCTGTTCTGATAATCCACTCATTTATTTTTATCATTTTCATTTTGATCATATTATCATATTTCTGTACATTATTATATTTTTTTGCAATTAATTTATTATTTAAGAAAAATCTATTTTCTTTTCCTAAACATATTGTTTGCTAAAATCTCATCAAGATCATGTTTCTTGACAGATGTCCTGAAGATGGAACGTACCTAGTTCCGAAACGTCGACAGTAAACAAATAATTAAATAAAGAAATTGTTTATTAAAAACTTTTCTTGTTTTTTTATTTTTTATTATTTTTGGATTCTTGTTCGAAACTCTACAAAGTATATATATATATATATATATATATATATATATATATGTATATATGTATATATGTATATGTGTATATATGTATATATGCGTAGGTTTATATGAGTGTACTTATATATTTTTGCCTATATTCTTTTTTAATTCTAGTCTCTATTACCTTTCCTATCTTTTATATTTTGTTTGTTGTTAAGTGTTGCTGTTTGTTAATTTTTCTTTTATTTTATAGTTACTATACCAATCCACGTATATTATAATTACCTAGATATACTAATTTTCATACTGTTTTTAGATCCACTGATGATGACATTAAATTGAATGTCGAAACGTTTGGAATTAAAGATTATTTTATAAATCTTCGCCTTTTCTTTGTTTGATGTATTGCCCTCAAGAACTCACTCATATTTCAACATCAAAATTAACTACTAAATCATATATATATATATATATATATATATATATATATATATATATATATATATATATATATATATATATCTTGATAGTTTTTTCGACGTTGAAACATATTTCAAAGTAAACGTTTTACTTTGAAATATATATATATATATATATATATTAGGGTGGTCATTAAAATGGTCATTTTCGAATTTCCTTGCTCCCAGGGGCTCAAATTGTTCCAAATAGATAAAAAACAATTCTCTGAAAGTTTTAGCTCTTAAGATCAACGTTTAGATAGAGCGCAATTCAATCAAACTTCGTATGGAAATAGCATGAAAAAAATTTTGAAAATTAAAAAAAAATGATTTAGGTATAATTTGGCAACAAATGAATTAGTTTTATTCATTCATTTGTTCGCTAAATTACATCTAAAAAAACATTTTTAAAATTTTTCCACGCTATTTTCATACAAAACTTTGATTGAATTGTGCTCTATCTAAACGTTAATATTAAGAGCTAAAACTTTCAGAGAATTGTTTTTTATCTATTTGGAACCATTTGAACCCCTGGGAGCAAGGAAATTTAAAAATGAACATTTTAAGGTCATTATACACTATAATAGTATTAAAGATTATGTTTATGATAAGCAATATGTGTATAAGCTAATGTAAAAATGGAACATAAAAATTTAACATTAGAACTATTGAGAAAATAAAATTAAAACAATTCATATTTCAAATTGGCAAGATAAACATATTGAACACTTTAATATTATTTTTGCATAATTTTTAACTCACAACATCATCATATTTCTTTAATTGCATTGAATGTTCAACATTTGCAATAATATTTTTCATACTATTATCATCCAGTTCATTAAATGGTCTCTTAAATATATTCCAAAGATTTGATTCCACTAAAGTCTTTTTATGTTTATATTGATCTCCCAATTGAAGTGCATTATGAAAATAAGCTTTGGCCAAGTACTCATGTGATGCATTCAAATAAGGTAATGGTAACATACCCTTAAAGTCAATTTCAAAGATATTATTGAAAAAAAAAAAAGTATCATTGTTAACTGATTCTTATACCTGACTGAAATGAACTTACTACAGAGTTAACCGATACAGCTGAGCCAATCAATGCAGAAATCAATGGTGATACATCTGCTTGCATAATGTCTTTCCTAAATTTATCGTTTACACCCCAATTTATTGGGCTTAATGTAGACTTCAAATTTATAGATTCCTTTGGAAAGTTAATGCCCGCACCCCAACTTACAATTGGCGTTTCTGTTTCATGTGTACTACCTGAACCATGGGATCCTTAAAAATTTTAAAACATATGTTATTCAATCATCAGTTTTCTTTCTTTCATCTATCAAAAATAAAAATATAATAATCTTATTTATTTTTATTCTCCTCATGCAAAAACTATGTTGTAAAATGTTTCAATCTAATCAAAATTTAAAGAATTGTTTTACCCCAATCAGTCATTCCATGATCTGATGTAAATATGAATGCTGTTTTGTTATCATAGTTATAAAATGTTTGTATGACCTTTTCAATCTGTTTAATGCCTGCATCAACAATGTTTAAGTTTTTTTCCAATTCTCTAAGATATAATTAGTTTATTATAGCATAATAAATTTATACTTCAATTAAACTAACTGATTATATAAAAAAGAACAAACCTTGAATAAGGCTTATATGTATGCCCGGCTGTATCCAATCCTAACAAATGAAGAAAAAAAATTATCTTTTTTTGATGCAGTCGAAGAAATAAATCTTTATCTTTTCTGGCATCATTAAAAAAATTTTCAACTTTTTTGAAAACCCATAGATCAAGTAAAAAGGTATCACTTTTTCCAGAAAAATCCTCCTCTTCTGAATTGTAATAATATGTATGAACTTTTCCAGATTTGGATCCTTTCGAAAACATCGGGAGAATATCAGGACTACCCCATGACCAAGTTTCTGTACTTCTATTAAATGCTGAATCAAAATGTACTGGATTCTCTTGCCAACCTCTTGCAACAGCTGAAGGATCTTCATAAAGCCCTGCAATTAAAGCCACATGACCAGGCCTTGATTCCGTAGGGACTCTGGTATGGGACACTCCCCATGTACCATATTTTTCTAAAATTGACCTAAAAATAGTATATTTAATATATTTGGATAATTTGTGCATGCAAAGTTTTAATTTTTTTATCTGCTATCAAAAGTAGATATAAGTCATAACATAATAGAAAAAACTAGATTTACAACATAAATAAAAAATACAGAAAATTAATATTCAAGTCATACAAATAAGACATAGACAAAAATATTTGATAGAATATTAGCACAAAGTAAGTAATAATACCTGAGGTAAGGTGTTTCACTACTTTTGTTATGATTTAGCCTAAAAAAAGAATCAGCTCTCAATCCATCAGCTACAAATAATACTAAACGATTTGCTGGAGCATCAGTTAGTTCTGGTCTAGGTGGAATTCCGGTAATCACGGGAGATTTAAAATAAATATCAAAAATTGAAAATAAGAAAATTATATGTACAAAAAATCCAATTGTTATGATAACTTTCATATTAAATGTTATAAATTAGAAATACCGCCACAAAAACATTGAAATATTTATCATTTTTAACCAATTTAACAAAGGATTATAATAATTAATATAGTCTAATTACTTAAAAAGTGCTATTAGTAAATATATGAAAATATCATATTAAATTCTGAAATATTAACTAAAAATAGTTCTGTTAGTTTTACTTAACACTGGGATACATATTTTTTATGATGATTTTGATCAACTGACCGCGAGAAACTTCGAAATTAGAGCAAACTTTGATAAGATGCAGGTAAGAAAATACACACTGAGGTGCGCCCCGTGGTATTTTGCTGTTTTCAACATAGAGAAATTCTGAAAGAAATTGTTAATACAATAAATGACATACAAAATGCAAAGCTAAAGTCTGACAACATGACAGATGGATGCATAGCATAGACCTTATATACATAGACTCATAGATAAAAGAAGAGTATATACAGGCCCTATTATCTCAGTACAAAATCCGCGTTCACAACGCGTAGTTCCAGTCACGACCGCTAGGCGCAAATTTGGCGCTAGTGAGCCGATGACAAGTTTGACAGGTTAGTAATTCACGAGCAATATATACCAGAAATGTCAAAATTTTGTTTTGATTCTTATTGTGATTGTTGTGTTTACAAGTGTTTTATAATTGTTTATACGGTTTTATTTGTGATCCAAACAAAATCTATAACTCTTAAATGAAGAGGATATAAAGCAGTTGTTAAAGCAGTGTATATAATAAAAATTTAATCACAATACATTTTGGGAGCAAGCTAGGGCTCTTTTATAAGAAAGGCAAGGCTCCTCTAACTTTTCAGAATTGTATTAAACTTTGGAGGCTCTTAAATATATATGGAAAAGCATAAATAGACTAGACTTTACATTTTTTAGGAACGCCACTGAGTTAATGAACGAAATCCAATTGCCGTGCAAGATGATAAAATAAGTTAATTTAATGCAGCAGTTTTTTGAATATTCAAGATAATATCAAGAGCCATTTAGCATGACTGGATTTATCGCAAAGAATGTGCTGGAAAGTGACAAATCTTACTTGGAATGATTATTAGTTAATAAAGTAATGCACAGACCTAAAAACAAAATCCAAATTTTTGAATTAACAGATGAGAAAGAAATAAAAAAAATTGTTGAAAATCAGAAAAATAACGCTGCACCTGGCGAAGACAAGATAACAGCAAGAATCACTAAAAAAATAATAAATATAATAGCTCCACTACTTGCTGTTTTAATGAATAGATACATAGAATGTGGTGTATTTCCATCGTGTCTTAAAATGGCTACAATAAAACCAATTTTCAAAACAGGAAACAAAACAGATCCAAATAACTACAGACCTATAACAATAACAAACACTTCTCCAAGATATATGAAAAAGTAATAAAAAAAAGATTACTTGATTTTCTCATTCAAAAAATTGACAAAAATCAATATGGTTTCCTCCCTTCATCAAATACACAAGGTGCCCTAATAGATTTGACTAATACCATCAGTCAGCACCTTGAGGAAAATATGCACACAGTTGCAATTTTTATTGATTTACAAAAAGCTTTCGATACAGTAGATCATGGCATATTACTTAATAAACTAATAGATTTAGGTGTAGAGGGTTTGTCTTACAGCATTATCAAAGATTTCCTCATGAAAAGAGTGGTAAGGACGAAGGTGGGAAATTTCACAAGTGGAGGATGTAACATAACCTGTGGAGTTCCACAAGGTTCTGTATTAGGACCTTTATTGTATCTATTATACACCAATAACCTTAAAGACGCAAAATTAAAGGGAAGATACATATTATATGCAGACGATACAGCGATAGTATATGCGGATAAGGATAAAAAAAGACTCGAAGATATTATAAACACGGACATGAAAATATACACCGAGTGGCTAACTGAAAATAAACTAACAATTAACATAGATAAAACAAAATACATATATTTCAAACATAGAAAAAATACTGAGAACACTAAACTAAAAATTGAAATAAATAATAGAGCAATAGAGGAAGTGGAAAGCATAAAATACTTAGGACTGATAATAAATGAAAAACTGACATGGACAGACCATATAAACAAAATAAAAAGAAAGATAGGAACATTAACAGGGGCATTGAAAAGGATCCACTCTTTCGGCAAAAAAAATAAAATACTAATTCTTAAAACGCAAATAATACCTATAATTTTATATGGCATAACAACATGGAGCCAAACAACTAAAGCAAACCTAAATGACATACAGAGAATAATGAATAAAGCCATAAAAATAGCATATAATTTACCACATCTAACACCCACCAAATACTTGCAGAGAGAAACAAATAATCATTCACTAAATAACATAATTAAAATAGAGAAATGCAAACTAATACACAAAATGAAATTTAACCGAATTAAAACAAGTGCAACAATAGACACAAATCAAGATATACATGAACACTACACGAGACAACACAACAATTTTCACATTGAACGCAATAGAAAAAAGAATTTGAGAGAAAATGTCATATGGAGTGCTACCAAAATATATAACGAATTGCCAGACTATATTAAGATGACCAATGATAATGATAATTTTAAAAGAAAAATAAAGAAGTACTATATGGAAATTGAAGAAAAAGAAGACTGAAGAGTTATATATAGATATTATATTAATGAAATAGATATTATAGTCAAATGAAATGTAAATATTATATGAAAACTGTTTTTCATAATCTCTCATACCAGGCACCTCTGTCTGACTGAGATATGAAAATAATGTATATATGTAAATAAATAAAAAATAAACACCATGTTTTGTGTTCACAACATTATTGGTAGTGAATAATGAATGATTATTCACTTGAAGGCAGGAATCCTGTAATTCGTTAAACTTCTTATTTTTCCTTTTTTTTAAATAAATATGTTTGTTGCAACATATTGCTATTTACTTTGATATCTATTTTAATATATGTATTATTGTTTGGTATGTTTTGTTATTGTATAACAATGTCAATATAAGACTATTGTAATGCAAAATTTAAATACAAATGAATTATTTTTAAAATTGACAATTTTCTTTTATTTCTAATTTTGGCGCTTTAATTTGAATGCATTTTGGAGCACGAGGCTGCCGAGCGACATGCGATTAAAGCGCCACACCCAACATTGCGGTCGTGACTTTCCCTAGCTCTCTGAACAGAAATACCGCGAGAGAGAAACGTCTATATTAGTATATTGTCTAGGAGTACAGTAAACCCTCGCTTTACGCGGCAAGTGCGTACCGTGCAGTATAGGAACCGTGCTATAAGAAACTCGTATTTAACTTACAATTCAGGCTAATTCGTAGTGCGTTCTATGGAACCTTACATAGTGCAGTATGGGAACCGTGTTATGAGAGACTCAGAGTTGGTACAAATCGCACCATTTTTATCGCGTTGTATGGAGACCAAGAAATACAACTTGAAGTAGGAGTAATACGGACAAAATGACGTGTAGGACATTGACACTTTATTCAAAAATTGGCGCGACGCAGTAGTCAGCTCAAACGTGTTCTTAGGCGGCATGTCTAAATCAGGCATGTCTAAAAGATAAAAGTCGATAACAAAATTTACATCAATACCCTTTTGCATAACGAACTTATGGGCTGTTGACCAAATACCGCGTAATAAGAAGTCCGTGTAGTCGGAGGGATGTCGGATTTTTAGATCCGTGTAGTATGGGAACCGTGTACCCAGAGTGCCGTGTAAAGCGAGGGCCTACTGTATATAGATCGCTCTCTCGGGCCATATCTCGTTGCCACTATTTTCGGTCAAAACTGTCAATTTGCCCGGGTTAGTTTCCGTCTCCCGATGTAGATGGCGCCAGCGTCGACCATGGGTGCGAATATAAAATGCTGAAGAAATGCACCAATATTATATAGACCGTTTGAATTCAAATTTTTTTTTTAAATTAAAAAACCAAAATTGAATATAAAAAAGCGTATAATTTTAACAATGACATGTTACATTATACTATTACAATACATATTGAATATAAAAAAGCGTATAATTTCAACAATGACATGTTACATTATACTATTACAATACATATTTATAAGATATGCAATTTGCATAAATGTATATATTATATATTTGTATATATACACATATATAATGTGTACTGTAATGTATACTATTACAATACATATTTATAAGATATGCAATTTGCATAAATTGTATATATTATATATTTGTATATATACACATATATAATGTGTACTGTAATATATATATATATATATATATATATAATATATATATATATAATGCACATAAATGTATGACGATTAGTGAGCTTTATAAACTATGTACAAATAGCATAGAAATGTACAACACGTACACATTATCCACCATTTATATTATATATATATATATATATATATATATATATACATATATATATGTATACATATATATATATATATATATATACATATATATATATATATATATATATATAACACTATATATGATTACAATAGAAGCTACTAAGCTTCATAAACTATGTGAATTTATGAATAGCATAGAAAGAATGTACATACACATACACATTATCCACCATTTATAATATATATATATATATATATATATATATATATATAATATATATATATATATAACATTATATATGATTACAATAGATGCAACTAAGATTCATAAACTTTGTACGAATAGCATAGGTATATATATATATATATATATATATACATATACACACACACACATATATATATATATATATATATATATATATATATATATGTACATATGGTTGTTCAATGTCTTGTGTGGACAGGGTGGTGTGTCCAAGCCTCGCTTTCTTGTATTCAAAATAGCCCAATTGCAGCACTGCAAAATGAAATGACAATTTCATATCACACAATCTTCCCTGATTAAGATCGAGTTCTAGCTCACAGACCTGCCCAGGGCACAGACTCCTATATGTGTGTGTGTGTGCTTTCATGTCAAAAAAACTATCTAAATTATATATATTTTCTAGATTCTAGAAAATTAAA